GGCTTCTAAAGTGAGGCCTACACTGTGTAAACAAGCACTCAGGTAAATAAGGTCATAGGCATGCATTCTATGAGAACAGACGGAAAAAATAACCAAGGTTAATGCACACAGCAAATCATAAGCCAGTTTCTGAGTCTGCAAGACTATCAGTTGAGAAGACTTTTGCTGGAATGATCAAGCAGTGACAATCTGATAGACAGTCCTTGCAGTTGGATCATCTTTGCTGATGTCATCAGGTGCTGAGGTAAATTCCATATGGCATACACAGCCTAACGGAAACACTTTAGTTCTCAATAATTCCTAGTCCAAAGATGGGAGAAAAATGATACATTAGCTTAGAGCCGTGGTCGGCAAACTGGGGCTCGCGAGCCACATGCGGCTCTTTGGCCCCTTGAGTGTGGCTCTTCCAGAAAATACCACGTGAGGGCGCGCACTTACAGTGTGATTGAACTTCGTGGCCCATGCGCAGAAGTCGGTATTTTGTGGAAGAGCCACACTCAAGGGGCCAAAGAGCCGCATGTGGCTCACGAGCCGCAGTTTGCCAACCACTGGCTTAGAGGGTTGAAGAAAACTAGAGGAATTTAGGAACCAGTTCAGCTTATAGGTGAAAGACAAAACGTTTAAGACAATTAACTGCACCAGATCCAACATCCATAGCTGGGTATTATGATTTCCGCTGAAACATAGTTTTTCTCCCTAAAATTACGCTAATTTCCATCAGAGATGCATTAAGTCCCGTTTTAATTTGGCCTGATTATTTGCATAAACATGAGTACAGCGATTGATTGTACAGGCTCTTTGAATCTGCTCTCCAGGAATCTTACAGGGAATCTTTAGCTTGAGCTTTAGTCGGCCCCTCAGAGCAAAGAAGCCAAGCCACACAGCTGCCACGGGGCTCTTCCTGCAATACCCATAGGTTTGGGTGAATCCTGAGGTTCCTTCCTTGCCATCTTTCAGGAAAGCAACCCTGTTCCTTACCTGGAAAAGCTGCTATGAGCCATGTGACTAGGTAAGGCGCCACGCCAGCTCTGCAGTGGCTTTTATTAGCTTTGGAGGTCAAGCTATCGTTTAAAATTGAGGACAGATAAGGAGCTTTCCAGACAAGAAGAAATTGGCGGAGTTAACCACCACCAAACCAGCATTAAAGGGAATTCTCTAAGAAGAGGAAATAAAATGAATAATAGGAATAATAGAATAACTACAATAACTACATAACTATTGATAATTATTTTAACTGTAAATGGATTAAATGCTCCAATCAAAAGACATAGGGTAGCTGAAAGGAGATGAAAATAAAATGTATATATATGCTGCCTACAAGAGACCCACTTCAGGTTGAATAACACAGACAAAGTAAAGGGATGGGAAAAGATGTTTCATGCAAATGGAAACAAAAAATCTGGAGAAGAATACTTCTATCGGACAAAATAAATTTTAAAACAAAACTTATAATAAGAGACAAAGAAGGACCCAGCAAGTCCACTTCTGGGTGTTTATCCAAAGAAACCCAAAACACGAATTTGAGATGAGAGATGCATCCATGTGCTCACTGCACCATTATGTACAGCAGCTGAGATATGGCAATAACCTAGGTGTCCAGCAATAGGCAAGTGAATGAAGATGTGGCATAAATATGTATGTATGTGTAATGGAAGATTAGTCATCTGTAGAAAAGAATGAGATCTTGCCCTGGCCTGTGTTGCTCAGTGGTTAGAGAGTCAGCCCACACATTGAAGGGTCCAAGGTTTGATTCCCAGTCAAGGGCACTACCTGGGTTGCAGGTTCAGTCTCCAGCTCCGTTTGGGGTATGTGTGTGTGTAATCAATTAGAGACACACTAATCAATGTGTCTCTCGCTTCCATGTTCCTCTCTCTCCTCCCCCTCTCTTCCTCCCACTCGCTCTAAGAAATCAATGGGAACAATATCCTCAGGCGAGGATTAATAAAAAGAATGAAATACTGATATCTGCAACACATGGAGGCCCCTGTGTCATTTCGTGCAGCTGGACTTCACTCGTTCTCACTGTTGTAGAGTAGGCCACTATAGGAGACACCACGGTGGAGTGAACCATTCTATTGCCATTCCAGTTTGGGGGCGCACACACTTCTTAGGGTAAATACCTAGGAGTGAGATTACTGACTGGCGGGGTCCACATACCCTAGCAGCTAGGGCTAATGCCAGGCCCCTTCCCCAAGTGGCCGCCCCCGGCGCCCCCCGCAGCGGCATGAGGGCCTGCCCGCCTCCCCCCGCCCCGCCCTCGGTGAGCGCGCGGAGTCCTACCCGCGGGCTTAGCGTGTCCTCTCGTTTCTATTGCGTTCAGCGCCTTCATAATCAACAACAAGTGTGTATCGGTCACTTGGATTCTTTTGTGAAATTCCTGCTCGGGTGTCCTGCCCCTTCGTTAACTGATTGTCTTCCTTTCCTGTCGTTCGCCGATTCTGGCATTACTTGTCGCAAATACCTCCTCCCGCTCGGTGGCCGCCTTCCCTGCCCACTGCGGAAAGTCAGGGTCCCGGGGCTGCCCCGCCGCCCCGCCCGCGTCACAACCGCCCCCGCCTCCTGGACCAGCGGGAGGTGTTGCGGGCGGGGCTGCGGGCGCAACTGGCCCCTCCCTCCCGGGGCGCGGGCCGCGGTCTCCAGG